AGACAGACAGACAGACAGACAGACAGACAGACAGAGAGATAGATAGACAGACGGACAGACAGACAGACATACAGAGAGGCTGACAGACAGACAGACAGACATGCCACTTGTATTCCAGCAGGACTGTGTGCTGATAGCGTTCAGTCTCTCGCTCTGACTGCCTCACATGGTTGATTCAGATGATTCAGACCCAAGCAAATATGTAAACATTCATAAAGCAAGATAGATTCATTTGACAAGAGAAATTCTGTACAATAATAAGCATGGTGTTCAGGGAACATGTCTTGAATGAAGCTTGAGTTTACCTAGTTAAAATTACTGTGGTTTATGCTTTAAAAAAAAAAATAAAAAAAAAAAAAAATAAAATAAAATACAAGGTGACAAAAAGTAATGCAAAAGTAAGGTAATGCATTACTTTCCATAAAAAGTAACTAAGTAACGCAATTAGTTACTTTTTTTATGGAGTAACGCAATACTGTAATGCATTACTTTTAGAAATAACTTTACCCATTGATATATTTATTATTATAATTATTATCATAATTATTATTATTATTATTTAACCATTAAACCAATAGAAAGCAGACGACAAAACTTGCTTTTAAAAAATATTTCTTTATTCCTTTATTTATTTTTTTCAGTTTTAGTTGTAGTAATTTTAGTACTTAAACTTCAATTAGTTGCTAAAGCAACATTACTTAATTACATTTAAGTTTGAAAATTAAAGTTATCCAATATTTGCAACTTATTTCATTTCAGTTTTATTTAAATTAACAAAGCGAGATACATTATTTATGCTTTCAAATATTGCATTTGTGCATTTTTTTAAATACGTGTGTATATATGTACACACACACACACACACTTTTTGTGTGGTTTATGCGTAAAAAACAAACAAAAAAAAACATATACAAACAATATTAAAATAAAATAAGACACATTCTTAGTTTTGCTTCTCAAATAACTGTATCTTTTTTTATGGATTTTTACCACCAAACCAATAGTAAAGCGGCCGCTGACACTCACGTTGTCGGAGATCTCCAGCACCGCCAGCACAAAGAAGACGTACTCCTGTCCGTTCAGCAGCTGCTTGTTCTCAAAGTCTCCGTACATCTTGGCATCTCCTAGCGTAAATTCGTTCGGCAGCTCGTGGAAATATGCCGCTATGTATGGCTTGGGCTCCATCTGCCGACGGAAGCGAATAGCGCGACTCGTTTGGTTGATTTCTCGCAACAGCTGTAAGAGAGACGGAGAGAAAAAACTGATCAGTTCAGCATAAAACACACATTATGATCAGTGAGATCAATTTTCATATTTTGAAGGAACTTTTATTTTTATATTTTCAGTTTTAAATTTTAGTTTCAGCTTTATGTGTGTGTGTGTGTGAGAGAGAGCGTGTGTGTGTGTGTGTATGTGTGTGAGAGAGAGAGAGTGTGTGTGTGTTTCTTTGAGAGAGAGTGTGTGTGTGTGTGTGTAACAACTGTCTAGTAAATGTCATTGTGGCGTTTGGTCTGATGTTGAGGGAATGGCAACGATTGCAGTGCTGACGGTGTGTTTTCTTCATTAACTGCACACACTGAACTATCAGTAACCAGGTTTGCAGAAGCACCTCAGGCCAGCTGGTGGGGGGAGGGGCATGTCCAACTGTCAGCCAATCAGAATGCAGATATCTGCGTGGTGCCGCCCCTTCCTGAGCAGCGGCTGGCGTTCGGCAGCCCGTCTGGCGCAATTCAGAGGAAAACACTCGCTGACTTTCGCCATAGAAAAGCCTCTCAAATATTTACCCTGGCTAAAAATAATATCGAACGTTCGGCTGGAGCAATAATGCAGTCTTCCTCTATTTCTCGCCCTCTCGCCCTGCATTTAGAGGAGAGCTGCTTTTGTTCCCGTTTCCATTATTTGCATATGACTGGAGCCGATGGTGCGACTGCGAGCTCTCGCTGCTTTCTTTTCACATAACTGCTGGTAGTTGTGTTGGGAATCATGTCCTTTACAGGGGCCGCTGCCTGATCAGTAAGGCATTATGTATGATGCAATGACTCTAAACGCTGGTGTGAGGTGGACTGGGCATCTCTTACCTCTTCCAGATTCATCTCATCCGGACTGTCCCAGGGTTTGATGAACTTTCCGGGCCGCTGTTTCTTCAGCGGCACCACCACGATGTAGTAACCCCTACAGAGAGAGCCAGACAGAGTCTATAAGGTTGTGTTGACAGCATCAGGACATCCATCAAGATTAGCTCCAATCAATCTGGACTTTCCAATCCACTCGGGATGACACTGGATTAACCACATGTTTGACGAAAGAGAGCGACCCTCGGTAAACACATCAATAACCTGCCAACCTCACCGCGCTTTAGTCTAGTTTCACTTCCAGGCCGCTGGGCTCAGTTTCACGCTTCAGACGCCCCTCTGATAGACAGAACAGCCAAAAACAGGTCGTCACTCTCATCTACTTTCTAAACTCATATGACTTTCTTTCTCCCAAGAAACTCAAAAGAGATATTTTGAAGAATGCTAGTCATTCTTTTCCATGTAATCACAACTAAAATGTGCACAATTCTCACTTCATTAAAAATGTTTTATAAAATAAAGCTCTGTATGCTTAATATACATACATAGAAACCCCCAAAAAACATGGCAGAGACTTCCCATTATAAAGTGACCCTAAATTATGATCATTTCAACTTAAATTCCAAGTCAAAAGAACAATAATGTGCACAATATTTATATATGTAAATGTAATGTGAACTAGAGATCAGTTTTTGTTAATTGAGATTCACTGAACCATTCTGAACTGATATTGAGGTTTCTGAAACCAAAAATGCATTGTGGGCCATGACACCAAGACCTCCGCTTTTGTAAGAATAAGATAAAAAAAAAATTGGTTGGAAAATGAGGAAAATTAAAGATGGTCAAACAACCAACTTTACAACTTTTGGACCACTTGAGATGGAAAGACTAAACAGAATAATTGGTAAATGCGATTAAAAGACGTAGTGTTGAGACGCAGGTGAATGATCTTCTCGTAAAGCCCATGGTGCTTCTCTCATTAAACTCAAACACAAAGCAGAACTGGTACTCACTTCACTTTCTCAGCCGTCTGAACAGCCGGCAGCTCGACCGTGACCATGCCGTCTGAACTGGTCTTGCCGATCAGGTAGGGTTTGGTGCGCAGTATGTCAGGTGCTGTCATGGTGGAGACACGGTGCTGCAGTCCTCCGGCGCTGTTCCCACGGTTGGTGAGCAGGAAGGAGTACTGCGTCTCCGGCTGAAGGTTGGTGATGAGCTTCTGCGTCAGCTTCCCATCCACCTCCACACTCTGGCCGTTATCATACAGGATCTACGAGGAACCACCGTCACGCCAGACTTTAACCAGTTTTAATGTGTTAGCTGGAGCTAGTGACCCAAAACCTAGTGTGCAGCCTGTGTAGGCAGCATTTTAAGCGATGCTCCAAATGTTAGGCAGCATTATGATGATACCTTCTTTTGGCCAAATATTAAATCGTAATTGCATGTATCCGTTATGCCGTATTTTGTGCTACTCTGCCTTAGACGGTCCCTTGTGAAAAAGAAGTAGGTACTTAAAAGTACATATTTAAAGCATACTTAGCATACTAAGAGTACTTATTACAAAAAATACTTTAAAATAAAAGACTTAAGTGTGAACTGAATCAAATGTTTTCAGACGCTTAACTGCATTTTACTTGCAATTAAATTAAAATGTATTATAGTTTAAATTTACATTAAATGCAATTAGCTGAATTTTTGTGTTTTTGACCCACTTAAGTAGGACTGAAGCACATCTCTATATGTAATTTTATAATGACTTCTGTCTTTGAAATATGGTTAAAGTACTGCTGAATGTACTGAGAAGCATTTATGATCAACTAAATTATACTTTAATGTAATTTCTATTGAAACTTGTATGTCATGTATTTAAATATATCTGTAATGATGAAGCTGCAATTCAGTAAATTTAAAACATTAACTTTAATGCTAATATTGAATAACACTACAGTTAAAATGCTAATCAAGTTATTTTCATGTGCTTTAGTATGTTATTCAACACATCAAAATAAGTGTACTTAAGTGTTAAAACAGCACAAAAGATTATTAAAACAATGATTTGAAACATACTTTAAAGTAAGACTTCATTTCACATTATTACAAAGATCACTTTTTAAAAGTGTACTTAAGTGTGTTTAGAAAGAAATTCATGAAATATATATTTTTTTACTATACTTTTAAGTTTTGAAGTACACTACAAGTGCATCTTAAAATCCAATTAAGCACACTTCTTTTTCGCTATGTAGCCAGTTTCTAGCTGACAGAACCTCATGCAGGCTAATGGTTTCTCTGAGTCTCTCACCGTAAATGGCTGTGCGGGGTTGTAGTTCTCGGGAATCTCCCACGTCAGCAGCACTGAGGTCTTCATGGCAGCTCTCACGTGAAAATTTTTTGCAAACACTGCTAAAAGAAAGTTGGGGCAGATGAATTAGACAAACAGATCCGCAGCACTTCGTTTCAACATCAGCCTTACCTGCCAAGCACTTCGCCTGCTACCTCATGAGGACTAGCCCAGAGCTCCAACCTTACCTGCAGCTTACCATCGACTCTCCGCAGGACGCTAACTGATTTGAACTAGCTATGCTAGGGACATTTTCTGATTTGCTTTGGTTCTGAAATCCAAACTCTTTTTAACAGGTGACTTAAGGTTGTAGGAGAAGGCAAACGGGGCCGAGAGGGTGTTGCGAGCCTCCTACCTTGGTTGATGGGTTGCGTTCTGAACTGGACGCTAGGACTATAAGGGCCGGGGCCCTTACTGGTGAAGGCACACATTTTAATATCGTAAGTGGTGTCTGCTTTAAGGCCGTCCAGCGTGACGGTGGACTCGGGTGCTGTGATGAACAGTTCTGAGGGGCTGCGAGGGCTGTTGATGTCTTTGTACTGAAGGGCGTATTTGATGACGGCTCCGTTGCGCTCGGCTAACGCCACAGGCTGCCAGCTGACCTGAATGGTGGTGGTCGTGCTACTTTGGGCTACGATGCCTTGTGGGTAACCGGCAGGAGTGTCCTCGGGAGAGGTGATCTCCTTCACCGTCTCCTCTCCGAATCCCACCCGGTTGCGGGCCGAGAGGCGGAAGGTGTAGGATGCCCCCTTGTGGATCTCTTTGGTGGTGTAGTGGTTCTCGCGCTCGGAGAACTCGATAACGGTCAGGGGCTCCACGTCCTTGCGGCCGAACCGCAGCCGGTAGCCTTGCAGCAGGCCGTAGGTGTTTGTCGGCGGGTGCCACTGCAGTAATGCCGTGCCCATGTTCGTCGGACTCACCATGAGACGAGGCTTTTCCGGAACTGAAAACGGACAGATGACACAGAGAAACATACGACGGTTTAGAGGTGGCCGACTGGACCTCAATTCATAATATCAATATAGAGCACAACATAGTTATTTTTGCTGGAAATACAGTTGTTATGATATGGATACCAATTAAATCTCACAATTACGATATCACAGCAATAACTAATACTAGATTAACTAATCCAAGAAAGAGAAAAGTAGAGCAGTTTAGGGGGCTGCGATTTGAACAAAATATTATATCAGAATATGAGTAATTTCATAATAGCAATAAATATATAACAATAGAGCTTGTTACAATACTAAATACTTGGATACCTAATTTCAAAATCTGCACAAAAACGTCTCAGGTTACTTATGTAACCATGGTTCCCTGAGTAGGGAACGATGCTAGCAGTAAATCTGTAGCTGAGGGAGCAAAACACCCAGCTCTCAATCGAGAGGGAGCTCGACCTACAGCATGTTCCAATGGTGGAACAGCTAGCAGTTATTTAGCTGAGG